GGTCGGAGCCCATCGCTATGAGAAACAAAGAAAGAAAGTCGAGACTTGGGCCTTGAGGGTCGTGAGGTTGCCTCGGACCAAGGAGAATGACATGGACATGGCTGGGTCCGCCTTATTGAGCGATAGTGTGCATGAGTTCTTTGCGCCTTGGTACAAATGAGGGTTTGGGCACAAAGACACGGTCAGTAAAGCACCAAAACCCGGGAAAACCCGGTCAGCTTTTGGACACTTTGGCTCGTGCCCAACCGTTCGAGCCCCGCCTGAGCCACCAATTGGTGCCGAGGATGAACACGAGGAAGGCGCCCTGGAGCGAGAGAATATGATCCGTTGCTTGGTTTGAAGAAGCCGTAGAACGTGCAGATCGGAGACCCTAACTTTGACAGGATCATCCCCATCGGGTTTGTGATGGGTTCGTTTGGAAACGAGGCTTGAGACCACTCCAATGTGGAAAATTAATTTTACTAGCGAACCTTGTTACTACTAGTAACAAGTGCCACGCTAGTAGTAACAAGTGCCACGCTTAGTAGTAACAAAAAGCTATTAGAATTAATTTTAAAATTAAAATTAAATTAATAGCTTCTTGTTACTACTAGTAAGGCACCTGTTACTACTAGTAAGGCACTTGTTTCTAATAGCTTCTACTAGCCTGATGTTTTATGATGTTTTTACATTTTTCATACGCCAATTTTTTTTGCAAGTGATCGAATCACAAAACTTAGCGATCAGGCAGGAACTGGGCATCGACTCATGGACAAATTCCGGGATCCTGGCATGATGCTGATGTGGACAACAACTTTTGTTGTGCCTTCAGTACTTCAGTGAAAAGAACCATGGCCAGTCCTTTGCAAAAACCATCCCTTTGCATAGGACAAAGGATCCCTTTGCAGGGAAAAGCTGGAGACACAGACAAATCGCCTCTCTTACTCAGGGTCACCTGAGGCCAACAACCCGAGAACGTTTCCTTGAGCTTGAGCTACGAGAGCGGCAGGCAACTTGACCCGATCGGATGGACCACGGTTTAGAGAAACTACTAGTAGCGTCCTTGCTCCTAGTAGCGATGCCCTTTGCTCCTAGTAGCTTCTTTCTCCTAGTAGTAAGGCCAGGAGCCCCGCTCGTAGCGTCCGATCTCTCCTAGGAGAAACCACGGTTTACTTCTAAACGGTGTGCTCGTATCCACTCATTTCGGGTTCTGCAGCTTCTGGTGACATCTTCTACAAACCCATACAACCATCCGACTCTGTTGCGCCACTTCAACCCCTGAATGACTGGGCTGATGTGAGTGGCCCGGTTCCATGAAAAGGTTGAAGGCACAATTAGCAGATCCTTTGTGCAGGAAAGAGCTGGTGCTGTCAATTTCTGCGCATGTACGCCATAAATATCCTCCTTGGGAAAAGTGTCAAGGCCACAATCTGCGTCAATCAAGTCTATGTTTACACAGGCGCTCGAAGATATCCAACACGAATACTGGCAACGAACCGAGTGGCTCTCCACGAGTTCAGAAACCCAACGTGGTGGCAACATGTGCCGCCTCAATGAGTTGGTCTCAAAAAGTGGCGCAGAAGCGAAGCGGGTGGTCGAGTGCGCTCTCCACAGCTTGACGAAGGGGGTGACTGGCTTGGTACCGGTTCTCACACTCTCAAACCGCTTTGAGAGCAAACATCATCCGCTTCAGAACTCCGACTTCCAATCCTTTTCTTTCTAACATCTAGGAACCACATGAAGCGTGAGCTACCCTGCGTCCATATGTAGTAGCTTCCTATTGCTAGCTTACTTCTCCCTGAGGGCTTTAAACAGAAACCAGTAAACCTGCTTAGACTGGACCTGATTCCGTTTCGTTTCTTCAAACTCACCAACTCCACCGAACAGGCTGTATGCCCAAAAGGCGTGGCCTGTCTGGATCTTGCCGGCCCAACAAGTGACTTGGCAGACACGGATGGACATGGCGCCTCGAAAAAGGTGGAGAAGACCGACGACATGACAACTAAACATGGAATGATAAGCAGAGTGTCTATTTCTAGAAGAGAACACTTATCAAACAAGGAAGGACAAGTGACAAGAGTAAGGTCTCAAGATCCAAGAGAAGCACAAGGAATCTTTTGACATGGGGATAGACGGGGTGAACTTGGTGCAGGATGCTATGAACCAAGCTGTTTTTCGCAGATTCATCGAAATGATCCGAATGACCGCAGCGCGGCAGCGGCCCACAAGCAACGCAGCCCTCGTTGTGTTCGCCCAACGGTTTCCTGTTGATTCAGTGGCTTCGACTCTCCAAAGGTGGGCCGTGGAAGTCGATGAACTCTGCGGACAGCATTGATGTCACCAGCTGAAGCAGCTCTTTGTGGGGGGAAGTCATTCTACGAACGGAGCAAGGACGCTACTAGGTGCTCCTGGCCTTACTACTAGGAGCAA